AGTGGTCAGATCTGTGGTACAATGTCAACAGAGCATTAATTGTGGCTTTGAACAGCAGTCTATAAGGCAAATAATACCGTTTCTGGAATACAAAATTTTGTGTGTTTAGTGGTGCTTCATTTATAAAATCTAAAATAGTGTGTGTTGGAAAAAAACCAAATGTGTTTGTCCTAAAAAAAAAAAAATATATATATATATATCCTTTTAGTTTATATTAATGTCGCTGACACTGCATGTTTCAGATCATATGTAATTTTGAAACTGCATAGGTCATACTGTACATGTTGTAGGTTTATTTTGACATTTCCCAAATTCCCATATTCATGCAATTAGACAGACTAAGGTAGATTAAAAGCAAGAAATACTGTGGACAATGTACATAAGCAATGGTGACTGAGTTCAGAGATTATAAGGAAATGTAAAGTATTGGAGTCTCAGGAAGGCTTGTTGAAAAGGATGACAGCTCTCCTCATGGCACCAGCGACCTTTTAATTGTGTCTCTGATTTTGGAGGAGGTGTGTGCCTGGACGTGGGTGTCCTTCCTGCCCTTTTCTTCAAATGTTGTACAGCTCATTCATGGAGGGCAGATGACAACCAATCACCTGCAAAGTGGTGCTGATAAAGGAGAAGAGTTTGACCTAGGAAAAGGCAGTGAAGAACGACTGTAGTAGAAGATGTTGAGACTCTTTCTGTTCTCTTGACTGATAGAATTGCTTGTGAGTGTCTGCACATTAGAACTGTAAATCAAATGTGCTAGACTAGACTAAAGATTAAATCTACCAGGTTCGTGTATTTTGCAGTTGTTGTCTATGACAAAACCTCAAGCACACCTGTTTATCTAAGTTAAAAACTGAAGTTATGTGTGTATGTCCATATATAGTACATATTTACTAAAGTAGTATAATGAGCACACTTTGACTATCCCACTCTTTATTCCCTAATTAGTCAAATGTACTGACTGAGCTCAGGAAGTGGAAAGTGGCTTTCAAGGAGCAACACAAGCTGGAGATAAGGAAGGAAAGAGAAAGATATGCAGCACAGACAGCTGGCCTAAAGTCAGAGCTAGACAGTCTGAAGGAGCTGCTACACACCTACGAGACTTCCAACCAGAGAAAAGATGAGGTAACTATGTATTTATGTGCTTTCTTCAGTACATGATGTGCTCGTTGGTCGGACATGGCTTCTGTACCAGACTGAGATTTAATTCCCCAGTAATTTCCATTGTTGTGGAAGTTTTAGTGTAGGACTGGGTAGGCCTAATGTACGGTATGTCTAAGCTATCAGCCCCATATCTCTATCTTTTGCTCACTTGCACATTCTGTCTCTCATTCTTATGCCGCTTTTAGCACTCGAAAGAAAAAGATTAGCACCTAGTCTGCTTTTTAGACTGACGGCTTATTTTGTGATGGGTTCTTCCTCAGGTAATTGTGAACCTGAGCCAGGTGTTGGACAGACAAAAAGAAAAGCTTGAAAAGATGAGAACATTCACCCACTGGAGACTTAAGCACACCGAGGCCAGAGAAGAGGTACACTGATGACACTGTGGTGTTTCCCACAGGTTGAAACCCTATTTGTTATTATTTGTTGTTTTTAATGCAATGAGCATATTTACCTGGTCCTTTATACAACATTTGTGTAAAGATGTTAAGAATGACATGACTGTAAAATTACTGGTAGTGAATGTATGTTAACATTGCTAGATTACTGTCAGTGTAGTTTAATGGTTATGCAAATGAGTATTATCTGCATGGTTTCAGACCTATACATCACTATCAATGATCTTGCACATGCCATATTTGTACACAAACTGTACATATCTGACTCTGTGTGTGTGTGTGTGTGGCTATAGCTCATATTGTTGCCATATTTTAAACTGGAAAACATTGTGGATAACTCATATTTTTCCCTAAACCATGACATAGAAAGTACAGCACAAGAGAAAATGTATGCACCTGCATAAGAATGAATTATAGGTGTAATTATGTCCTTCTGAATATTTTCATGGTCTTGTGGTTCCCTGCCAGGCTCATGCTGCTCAAGCAGCGCAACAGCACTACAATTTGCAGCTGAAGAAGAAGGTGTGGTTAGGCTGGCACTCTCTGATCCAGAAACACTGGAAGGTCAAGGTGGAGCGGGCTTGCCGTGCAAGGGCTGAAGAGGTCTGCTCCCGCCTGTCTACAGAGTATGAGGCCAAGCTGTCAGAGGTGAATAAGTGGGTGAAGGACCTGCACATGAAACTCATTGAGGTGTTTTACCACAGAACACTGTAGTCAGTAAGATATTGTATATTTACAGATTTGAGCCCTGTGAGGCAGATCCAAAGCACCACTGGTTACCATGATTTATTAATTTCTTACATGTATTTTTCGAAGGACTCTTCGGTGAATTGTTATAAATTGCGTCAGTGAAAAATACCGGTAGCCACACTAAACTTGATTAATAGATTGCAGTGAAATCACTGCAGAGCGAGTATGTTGAGATTGAGAAGGTGTGACTGGAAGAACGAAATCAAGTTTAATTTGGGTAAAACCCTGTTATTAACATTGTTACAGAGTGCAACACAAAGGCCTAAGATTGAAAGCAAGAAAATGAACAAGGAGTCAGTCACGTATAAACTGATAAATGTCTGATGTCTTTCTTTACTCTACCTGCTACCTGTCTCCGCAGCACTGTGAGGCTGTAGAGAAGGCCCAGGCAGAGATTCAGAGACTACGACTAGAGCGAGAGCGCTATGAGGAATCTATGAAGAAAGCCTTCATGAGGGGCGTGTGTGCTCTCAATATGGAGGCTCTGGGCATGTTCCATACTACAGAGGGATGGCCAGAGCAACCTCCAGTTCATGATCAGCATGGTCTGTAACAGAATCTTGCATCCTGAAATGCATTTCATTATGTTACTGTCAAACTGGGCTGTTAATTGAGTATCCTTTTTTCTTGCTTTGAACAAGAGTTGATTTTATCTTTATTATCTTTATTAATAATCACTTGATATTAAGTGATATTAATATTAATTTATATACAATGTACTGACAGATCTTCAAACAAGCAAGAGAGGATGAAGGTATTCACTTCCCAACACAAAGGATCTAGATTTCCTAATCGAGCGATTAGATTCAGAACAATTGTAAACTCAGGTCCAACATTCAGCTTTTAAAATAAGTAATTTTCTGTAACTACAACAAACTTGCATCAGGGTTATACTGTACCAGAGTCTGACTGAATATGTTTTTCTTTCTGTAGATGTTTTGCCTCCCCAGGATGAGCCTGGCTCTACTACACTGGGTCAGCTTCAACCATATCCCATCTCTTCCACACGGTTCAGCCCAGTACACTTTGACCGCCCGGATCCTTCCCACAGTGAAGCAGAAGATATGGTGGGACACTGACATTTTCTAATGAAAATATACATTTATTTAGATACCATAGTTCTTCTGTGACATAGCTCAATTTCTTCTCAGATCTCTCGTTTGATCATTCAGTCCATCATATAAAAGAATTTGGAATATGTGGTTGTATTTTTCATAATTCTTTTTCTTTCAATTTAAATTTATTTAAACTTATTTTGCTGCAAATTCACACTCTTCAGTGTTCTCATGTAGATGCTACTAAAACAGAAGTATGCTCAAAGTAATGTTAACTTTGCTTTTATAATTCCGTCTGTCTGTTTATTTATTTGCCTCATTTATGACTCACTTCCTCTAAATCTCCCTCCTGTTCCTGATTCTCTTTTCCTCAGATGGGCTCTGGGGCCCCAATGTCCAGGGCAGAAGTACTTCCTCCCACTACAATGATGCACAGCTCAGCCCCACCTGGGGGCACTACAAGTTCTCACAAACAGGTTTGTATTTGACATACCAATCTATTGACTCTGGTGCTTACAACTAATGAGAATGTCCACCTTCAAAACAGTTATGTGTGGCTATGATGGCAATTATATATGATACATATTATATCACTGAATAAATGATTTTCAGTTGGTGACCAACAACACAAAATGACAAGTTTAATAAAAAATGTCTCTTAAGAAGACTCTATCCGGGGCAATCACATTTTTACATGATGTAATAATGTTTGATATTTCAGGTCAGTGGTCGTGTCGTCACAGCCAGTCAACAAAAGTCCTCAAAGACCGTAACGGCTCGCATCACAGCACGTACAGACGTTGGTAAGGGTGCACGCAGCAACCTCCAGGTGATGGGAGTGGCTCCGCCCATGAGCTCTGTGATAGTTGAACGGCATCATCCTGTTACACAGGTACAGGAAAGTGTGCAGCACTCCTGTTAGCTGTATTACTATCTATGTGTTATGTGTATATATGTATGTATCATGTGAAGCTGAAAAATAACACGAACATTTTCTTTTGTTTGTCTTTCAATTTTTCAGCTCACGGTCGGTCAAGCCACGGCTTCTAAGTTTCCTCGCTCCTCCCAACAGGCCCAGAGCTCCACCGGAGGCAGAAGCTCCTCCAGAACACACACCAGCACGTGCCATGTGCACTCCATCAAAGTAGTTGATTGACCACACACACATCTCCCAGAAAGTGTTTCTCACCTAGTCTAGATTGAAAATGTAACACATCCTATGCAAAAATCCTAGAAATAGTTACCTTGGGATTAGTTTCAAGTCCATTTTATTAAGATCTTGGTATGACTCTGCCATTGCTTTCTACATTTAAAATGAACATTTGATTGTTATTTTTGAGCTTCCTTTCATGAATGTGAAAGGCACAATTTCCTGAGCAATAGGATTTTTCTCAGAAAAGTGCAACATAAACACAGGTGTTTAGAACTGCACATGTAAATATTTTTAATTACCAGCAGCTGGACATAGTTTAGAATTACAAAAAGGACAGTTTTTTTCCTCTGAAAATGTTTTACTTTCAAATTGTAAATTATGCACAGGTGAGACTGTACTATAATGTGTAAAACCACATATTTTAAATATTTGTTGCTGACCATTCAACTCCGCAGGCTGTTTAATTTACTAAATCAAAGCCATATGTTAATGATCAGAATTTTATTTTTAGAATAAATTATTAAATGATGTACATGAAGTTAATTGTGCCCGTCCATATTTTGCAGTGTTAATCCTCATGAAATGTTGCAGCTCTTACTACTGGCATTCTCTGCCTCCATCCGAATCTTATCTGTAAAACAAATGAACATTTTCTGTAATAACATTTCAGCACATACCGCCAGGCAGCCCAGCTATAGGTTTATAGATTCCTGAGCATATTTGTTTTGGGAAGATTGTTAACTGAACATACCTGCAGCTTTCTTGTTTCCTGTGAGGATGAGGCCTTGGTAGAGTTCTCTAGCAGGGCACTTCTGAGCCAACTCCTCCCCGTGCAGCCAGATCAGCAGCATCCTGTTCCCATGCTCTTGATAGCTGTGCTGACCTGTGAACAAACACACAGTACTGTACGGTCAGGACAACAATTCAACTAATAAAAGTAGCCTAAAGATTGTCTCTATGGAAGCATATGCATTCTGTTTTCCCTCATAAATTCAGGGAATTTAATCTGTAACCTTTTGTTTCCAAGAGGCTTATTTTATAGTATTTCAGAGGGTTGTCAAATGCGCAGTCAAAAGCCTGTCTAGTCAGTGTGAGTTTTGGCACCTGTCCACTGCTCCTCGATGGCCGACACTTGCTCCTTAGTGAAGCCCCAGTGTTGTGCCAGTCTTTTCCAGTCTCCTGGTTTCAGGAGCTTGTACGCCAGGTGCCAGGTCATTGAACGGAGCTGCTTTGTCTCATAGCGGTGGTCGAGTTTAAACGTTAGTGGATACTCGCTGTGAACACTCTGATTAATCTCAGGGTTGGCCTGAAAGGTAATTAAATCACATCCTCAGATTGATGAAGGCCACAAGCCACAGAGAGCACAGGGGCATGGGAAGACATTATTGGAAAGACACACTCAAACACATGATGAGCAATATGAATGCCAAAATGAAAATCAAGAAGGGAATCAGGCATCCCCTTAATTAAATTGATGGTAAATTGGTTGTCAAATGTTTCTTGGTTGTGATTCTTTTTTTTTTCTTTTTTTACTATAAATGCTTTAATAGTATTAGGGGGGATTAAATTAATCTAGATTATGATGTTAGGAAATGAATTATTTGTCATGAATGCAATTATTGATTTTGAGGCCTCAAGAACGTATTATAGCACACATGAAAAAAAGTATTATTCACCTTCCTCCAAGCGTAGTGTCTTTCTGCTTTGATGATCATGTCCACTATAATCACCTCATCTGCTCTGACTGCCACACCCAGAGCCGTCTTACCCTGCTACTCCAAATTCAACAAAATACACAAACTTTAATTAGAACTGCACGGTATCAAATTTAGAAATAGATTTTTCTTACAGTTTCAATGTCTCCTACTGCTTTTATGGCTTAAATTAATCATATAGTTTGTTGCCCTGTACATAGCCTGACTAACAGATGTTGGTCAAGTTTAAATCCTGAAAAAAGTACAAGAGCGTAATTTAAATTATGTGGCAACTACTCTATGTTAGCTCTAGTTTGTGAGAATTCTTACCCTGTCCCGGAGAGTCAGGTCCACCCTGGATTTAAGAAGCATTTCCACAACTTCTATTCTGGCCAGCTCTGCAGCAAGATGCATAGCTGTCTGGGACCTCTAACATTGAAGGTATGGGACAGGACAGTGCAATGAAACATACAAGAAAACATTTTCTAAATAACTAAAATATTTATTTTCTTATTTATAATTTGTTTAACGTCTTATTTTACTGATCATACCTTATCAGTGACATCAACGTTGCAGCCGGCCGTCAGTAGAGAATGGATGACAGGGATGTGACTGTTCTTCACTGCCAGGTGGAGAGGAGCCTCTAGGTTCTGAGAGCAAAAATATCTTGTTACACAACATGAGCCCAAACAATAAAGTATTAGTTTAGGAGAAAATATGTAAAACTACAACAATACACATCGAGGCAGAGTGTGTGTGATCTGTTTTACCAAAAACTTTACTTAAAGAGTGTAGGCTACTACTGCCACCTAGCTTTTGTGATGCTTACCTGATTCTTGAGGTCTGTGTGGGCTTTGTACTCTAAGAGGAGTTGGACAAGAGACGTGTCTCCTCTTTCTGAAACTGAATGGAGAGCACTGCCTTTGGCCTACAAGAGAGGGAGGTTCAGCTGTAGGCATGCTGCCAGTACAAAAAGCATATTTACCACATAAAATTTGCTACGGCCTAAAGGATTAACCACATTAAAATATTTTCAATAATACATTAACAACATGACACCTTGGGCCTGTACTATGAAACAGGATTTGAGATCAGCGAGGTAACTTCAGGGTTAACCCTAAAGCTTATGTTCAACATAAGAGATGAACACTACAGATCAGCCTACTGACCAATCAGTTCTCTCGGAAAATGAGATCACCATCTGTAGAAGGTCCGTTTCACACATCCTGTCACAGCGATTAAAATAAATGGGTTTCAAATTTCTTATGTTAGGCTGAATATTATAGTTGGGTAATATTATTATTTTTATTAAATTAAGCTTGAGACCGGTCACGTAGCACCCACTTTTTTCAGTGGCCTAAATGTTGAGATTCAGTCTTTCAACCAATATCCGGGCACTTGTTATGGCATGAATGGAGTTCTCGTTTTGTTGCTTTATGAAGTTATGTAGCAAAACAATGTTTGCTACATTTGAGTGTGTTAAATTAATCATATTTTTACGAAAGTTCGTAAAAGTGACGAAAAGTTCTTGAAAGTGAAATGAACGACCACTTATTCAGTTCCAGAGGCCTTTAATGTCAAAACGCCAACACCTACCGAGTACATGCCAATAGTACACACCAAAGCAACACATTCATAGTATAGCTTACGCCTGTTAACTTAAGCAAACTGTCTGCGATTCTCTGTATTCCTGCAAGTGGCAGCTGCTGTTGGCTGGATTATGTATTTAACTATGTCATATTTGTCAAATATTATAGTTTGCTCTTCATTTGTAAAATATGACGCTCTACTGCCATTGGACTTGTTCATGTTTGCGATTGGTCATCTACTGCAAACGTTTAGTGATCGTGCTCATGGATGGATTTGGACATCCCGGGTTAACTTACAGAGTTGATAACCAGTGACCGCATAGCCTGATTTCGGTTTTTAGGGTTAATGAAGCCAGATAATGAAAAGAAATCCTGGGTATGTTAAACTTGCTTCATAGTATAGGCCCCAGGTCAGTGATTTCTATGTTCAAGTCAGTACAGTGCCCTATTGTACCATTGTGAGGATGTTGGGGTCACAGCCAGCCTCCAGAAGGGCCCGGACACATTCTTCTTGGCCTTTGTCTGCAGCCTGGTACAGAGCTGTTTCACCATCCTGCAATACAGGAGATACATCAAAAAATAGTGGTGCGACATAACCATAACAAACACAGAAAATTCTTTTTATTACTATACTCACAACATTATAGCATATATAGAAATGTTTTCAGGCCTATAACCAAGTAGATGAGCGTCAGTAAGTTAATAGCCAAAACATTATATGATAATGGTTTATGCTAATTTTTCAGGGAAGTCTTTTTAACAATTTAAATTAATAACCGGTAATGACCATGTCCATCATTAGGCTTCAATCCCAGTTAGAAGAATGTTTGACCAGAAGCACCAAGTATAAATTATCAGTCAGAGTTGAAGTTCAAGCCAGAACACAGTTTGCCTTGTTAGATAATAGTAACCAGTACACGTCTTAATGAATCCAAAGTGGAGTCACCATCCAGCGGTGGATTAGCCACTGAGCACACACTGTCACAAACCAAACCGTGATAGAGAGGATGTTTGATTGTCTACCATATTGACTTCATCCCGAGTATCAAAGCGCTGCAGCAGCAGCTGGACTGCATCCAAGTGGCCGTTTGTGGCAGCTAAGTGCAGGGGCGTGTCCCCTCTCTGGGAAGAGCAGAGGGAGGGAAACAACTCACATCAAGGAGGGTCTGACTTTGAGCTTTCTTGCAGGTGTGACACAAAACAATGTGCTCTCAGACACACAAGATCATGAATAGCCGTGTATTATAAATAGATGCACACAAACCAAAAAAAAAGCATTCCACACACACCTTGTTGGGCTTCATGGTGGCCATGTTGTATGGATCCATCAGCATATCTAACATTTGAACACACCCATGCTCTGCTGCCAATGCAAATGCCCCGTGTCCTGACTGAAATATGAAAGTTAATTTACGGCATGTTTTTTGGTAGTTCTAAATAATTTGTCCAAAAGGGAATCAAAAATTAGTGTCAAGTACCTGGTCATCTTTGTCTAGTTCTTTCATCTGCAGGTCATTAACAATATACTCTACAATTTCAGTGTGGTTGTTGATAGCAGCACAGTGCATGATGTTCAGTCCTTCCTGAGGTGTAAAAAGAGTTGGATTTGGACACAAAAGGAGGGTCTGCACTGAGGCTTGTAATGAGACAAGCTTACAAATGTTAGATTCAAAAATCCAGGATAATGAAAATTAATCAGGACTCAGTGTTGCTTATGCTTCTTTTAGAACTGTTGCACAAAATAAAAAGACAAATGGCACAATTTCTCGGTATTTTGCTCTGTCAGTTAGTGAGAAACAGTAGAACAAACTTGCTGCTTCGTTACCTCGTTCTCAACCTTCTGTTCAGCCCCAGCCTTCACTAATAATTTCAGGATCTCCAAACTGCCAAACCAGGCAGCCAAATGAATGGGTGCCACGCCGTACTGTCAGACACAGAACACAAAATGGCAGTTGTGATTACTTAAATATTACACAAGCTATTGTCTGGGATTCAAGTTTTCCAATGCAGTCATTTCAGACCCTCTCACCTTGTCTTTTTGGTCCACCTTGACCCTGCGCTGCACAAGAAACTGCACAGCTTCCTTGTTTTTCCCAGCTACTGCATAGTGAAGGGCAGTCCTATTATGCTGAGACAAACAACTTAATCAGTAACATCCAATTAGCCTTTGAGTCTGTTAGTTTTATATTAAACAATGCAGTGAGATGCACATAGAGGGTTTGTTTTATGAAGACCCACCTCATTCATTGCATTGGCATTCAGTCCTTTTCCAAGAGTCTTCATGGTCTCCACGTCATTACTTTTAGCTGCTTCCATAAACTGCTTCTCTGCATCAAAGACTGCACCACACAGCAGACAGGAAAAGTTTACATATAACTATTTACATTAAATATAAACTTTAATGTACATAACAGCATGTATAAGGTGTTTAAAATGGCATTTGAGTCACAACTTCAACAGGAACACACTGTAAGGTAAACTGAGATGAGTGAGTATCTGTTTAAGGTTTCAGCCTTGTGCAAATATAGTGTGTTTCTTGGAAAGAAACTGTCATGCTGTGGGCATGCAGTCAGTACACCGGAGTGAAAAACTAATGATTAACTTTAACAGTATAAACTCAAAAGCTCAGTCCTGAACCAGATGAAATAATGCTACATAATGTTCTATAATTTTTATGTTCTGTTAAGCCACAGTATGTATTTATTTTCCACCTTTTAAATACTCACTTATCTCTTTGTTTTCATTGTTGTTGCCCGTATTGTATGCGTGCTTGTTCCGTATATAGTCAACAAACCCCCTCACTGTCTCCTGTCTCATCCACTTTCGAGGGTCCAAATCGTCTCTCTTAGGACAATGCTTCTTGATCATCCCCCTCAAAGCCATAGCTCTTCTGTCCACTGAGAGGTTCTTTCAATTACCTGTGTAACCACAGTGGGGTTGGTGTAATTATAAAAATAAACAGTAATAATGTATGCACCAAACACAAACAAAAACCTCAGGACACAGATAATTCAAGATGAAGATGAAGATGAAAGATGAATCTAGTTTCATGTAGTTCCTCTCTTAAAAAAGTGAATAGCAAGCCTTGAAATGGAAGTGTACTCCCACTATTTTCTTAATGATGAGGGCTGGACCATGTTTACTTTACTGGCTCACACCCTTGACAGACTGTAGGCGATGATCTGTAAGGTAAAGTCGTTTTTTGCAAGTGTCTGGTGGCAGTCACGAGTGATGTAGTAGCTGTTTATTGTTAAACAAAAAGGCTACCACTGTTCATACAAAAGGTCTGTCTCTGTAGAGATGCTTTCCATAATGTTGTCATGTTCAACTTGTAGTGGATGTTTGCTACCTAGATGGAGCCATGGGGGTTCAATCTCAAAACGGTTTGCAATGTTTTCGGATTGAACGACCTTCCTTGCAACGTTCCCGCTAAACTCAGTAATTTGAGCGAGTGTGTGTTTTATCATAAGTTACTGTCACCAGGATGGTCTAATTATACTCAGTTGATAGGAACTACTTTTCCTTCCGACTGTCAAAGTCATGCTTGCGCTAAGGCTCTGTGACGGAGCTTCTTTGAAGTGAGCTGCTGCAGCCCTTTACATTTCCTACGATTAAATACTGACTCTGGCCGACTGTAAAAGCAAGCACGCCTGGCTGTATTTTAGCTGTGAAGGTAATAATATTGCTGTGTGATGTGTGTGCAAAGACAGTGAAATACTTTGGCAACACTGCACTAAACATCTGAGATTAAGTCAAAATAATACGATGATGTTATTAAGCAGCAGTTCTGAGCAGGATATTTTCATTATAATTAAAGAATATGACAGTAGTTTGATGTCTTGTCATTATGCAGCTATTATTTTGAATTGGTAAGGCTACAGCCTACTCCTTATTTCGCTCATAAATACAGAAACGGGAGAGGGGAGGTCACATTAAACTAGAAATAAAATATGCAAACAGTATTGGTATCGGTATCAGCAATACCAGCCTGGGTATTACTTGGTATTGGATCGGATAGGAATTAAGTGGTATCGCACATCACTACTGGGGCGGCTGTGGCTCAGGAGGTAGAGCGGGTTGGCCGTTAATCGGAAGGTCGGCGGTTCAATCCCTGGTTCCCCTTGTTTGCGTGTCGAAATCTCCTTGGGCAAGATCCTGAACCCCGATTTGCCCCTGGCGGCTGTTCCGCCAGTGTATGTGTAGCTGAAAGCCAGGTCAATAATCAGTGTTCAAGATATTTGCCAACCTCCAGACATGATAGCCTTAATTTTGACCTAACCTTGGGGAGTCTTCCCCCAGAGTCTACGTGTCAAACCAGAGTCTGTATTTCTTTTAATTCCAGAGAATGTATGGAATATTAAAGTTCATAATAAGCAATAGCGTAGGTTTTCCTTCAGCAATGGATGAGCCAATGAATTAGGCAGGAGTTCTGGGGGCCCTCTCCCAACTTAATTTCCTGCATTGTCGTGAATTTTTTTTTTGGACCAATTGCCTTGCCTTTTCTGCATCAGTTTATGGAGGAAATGTTTTTAGGCTATGTCAACGGTAACACAAAGCTCAGGCAGTAGGTGACAATTTCAAATATAAAACATACCAGAACATAATTCAGTATGTGTATGGCTTTGAAGCATTCTGTATTTACTAACACTAATTAGTTCCTTGCATAATGCGCATTCTGTAGCTACCTGTCAGAAGCTCTGTCTTAAACTTGACTTTTATCCAGTTTTAATCCACACTTTTATGTTACATTTTTTATATCCTTTTATTTAACTTAAGTTTTTAACTTGAGTTTTATGTGGGTTAAGGATTGTAGTCATCCGACATGGATTTTAAGCTAGATGGCCGTAAAAACACTATCAACGCTACTGACCACAACAAAGCTCCGGCGACTAACATTATGCTAGCCGAGATAACTCTGCCCCTGAGGACTGCACACTCCTTAAGAAAGCCAACAAAAAGATTGCTGACCTTATGGAAGACATCCAACGACTTTCAGAGGACCTCAGAGAGAAAGATTCCCTGCTGACTGGCTTTATGGATGTGGCTTCAGTACAAGCCAAACAGATTGTTTCTCTTAGCACAACCACTAACATCCAGGACACCGTATTATGGGATCCCTCTACCCTTCCAAGGCTTTCCTCCTGCTCGACTCCAAAGCATCAGTCAACCTGGGCTGCCTCTCCTCCGCACATCGGCCTCTCCAACCGCTATGCAGCCCTGTCTGACGACACTCTGGTCCATCCAGCGGATGCACCTGCGGCTTCAAGTCGCACTGACACGGATCCCTTTCGGCGGATAGTGCCTGCTGACACTGTTGCATCTCCTCCACTGGGCCTGATCGGCGGCCGTCATCCCGGTCAAAAACCTCTGCTTCCCGACGTAGGATCCTGAAGGAGGCTGTGCTCAGACACTCCGGAGGCCTGCACCGTCGGGTAGCCCCTCTCTCAGGTCTGTTACTGCTACTTCAACACAACACTTGGCTATCTCTGGTCCCATTCCCACTGTTGGTCGCGGTCTTCAGAATCGATAAATTTAATATTTTCTGGCAAAGAATGTCTCTTTTTAAGACAGACGGACTTCACCCAAACAAACGGGGCTCAGAAATGTTAGCTGCTCACATACAGCAGGTGGTGCGGTCCACACATGATTTACGTGAATGACTAATCATTCATGCAGCACACCTGGACACACCACCGCTCACTGAACAGATCTCTGCCTCACTGCCTCAAACAACTGTCTCCACCTGCTGGCACTTAAAGCCGTCTGCTACCAGCGCTGTTCCACAGACTTCTATTCCTGTCATCATCACGCATAGACCAGTAAACCGAAATGTGCACATCCCACACAGAAATAATAGTAATCTTATAAGGATTAGGACAACTGCACCAACTCCAGCACCCAGAACAAACTCATTTAAAATGGCTCTCTTCAATGTGAGATCACTGTCAAGTAAGACTTTTATCTTAAATGATTTTATCTTGTCTGCAAATCTAGATTTTATGTTTTTAACTGAATCCTGGTTGCAAATGAATGACTATAGCCAGCTAGCTGAACTGTGTCCGCCTCAATATGATTGTTTTAGTCAACCCAGGGTCAGTGGTCATGGTGGTGGGCTAATGAGCGTGTATAGGAAAAATTAAAATGTCATCAAGTAGGCTGTGATGAATTTAACTCCTTTGAAGTTCTCACTCTTAAAGTTGGAGGGCTGCAACCTATCATATTTGTTATAATTTATCGCCCCCCAAAACCGCCTGGAGGGTTTTTATCAGAACTTCCTGAATTTTTATCTACTCTGGTTTTAAATTATGACAGAATTGTTCTTTGTGGCGATTTTAATATTCATGTTGATGACCCCAACAATGTTAATGCAACTGACTTTTTAAATATGGCCACTTCTTTTAACTTCAACATGTCAAAGGGCAAACACATAACCGTGGTCATACACTGGACTTGGTTTTTACCCTGGGTGTCAGCATTTCCTCTGTGGAATTAGTGGACATGACCATATCTGACCACAGATGTATTGTTTTTAGCTGCGATTCGCCTGTTACTCATGCCGCCTCACCAAGCTCCGTGTGTTCTCGCATCTTTAATGAACAAAGTGTTTCAAAGTTTTGCGCATTCTTTCAGAGCCAAAGCCAACACCTGTCTGATTCCAACACCAACAATCTGGTTGATCACTTCAATCATATCTGCTTGTCGTCACTAAATATTACTGCTCCTCTAAAGGTTAGGCCTGCGTCTAAAGCTAGTAAGCAACCCTGGATAAATGACAGCATTCGCAGCCTAAAAAGGGAATGCAGGAAAGCAGAGCGCAGATGGAAAAAATCCAGTCTCCAAGTCCATTACCTCAGTCTGAAGGATTTATTAATTAACTACAATAACATGGTTAAGGATGCAAGAACACACTATTTTCCTGAACTCATTACTACACATAAACACAATCCCAGGTTTCTATTTAAGACTGTGGATCAGCTGGTAAACCCAACCCCTCCTTGTGCCTCAGCTGGAAGTAATGATGACTGTGAATTGTTTTTATCTTATTTTACCAATAAGATGGTGTCAATCAGAGCCTCTATTACCCCCACCGCCTCTTACTCAGAGGTCCCTCACCAGCAACAAGAGAGTTTTAACCAGTTTTATCCCATCGACTTGTCTGAGCTTTTAAAAACAGTATCACAAATGAGAGTGTCCTCCAGCCCACTTCATGTTATACCTACAAAGTTTTTACTGAAAGTAATAGATTCTGTTGGGCCCCATTTGATCTCTGTTTTTAACAGCTCCCTATCTACTGGTTGTGTCCCTGATTATTTTAAAACGGCTTGCGTGAACCCACTTTTAAAAAAACCTGGTTTAGATCCCTCCCTCCCACAAAATTTTAGACCAATTTCTTTTTCAGATTTTAGAAATACACTGCTCAAAAAAATAAAGGGAACACTTAAACAACACAATGTAACTCCAAGTCAGTCACACTCCTGTGAAATCAAACTGTCCACTTAGGAAGCAACACTGATTGACAATCAATTTCGCATGCTGTTGTGCAAATGGAATAGACAACAGGTGGAAATTATAGGCAATTAGCAAGACACCCCCAATATAGGAGTGGTTCTGCAGGTGGTGACCACAGACCACTTCTCAGTTCCTATGCTTCCTGGCTGATGTTTTGGTCACTTTTGAATGCTGGCGGTGCTTTCACTCTAGTGGTAGCATGAGACGGAGTCTACAACCCACACAAGTGGCTCAGGTAGTGCAGCTCATCCAGGATGGCACATCAATGCGAGCTGTGGCAAGAAGGATTGCTGTTTCTGTCAGTGTAGTGTCCAGAGCATGGAGGTGCTACCAGGAGACAGGCCAGTACATCAGGAGACGTGGAGGAGTCCGTAGGCAGGGAACAACCCAGCAGCAGGACCGCTACCCCCGCCTTTGTGCAAGGAGTAGGAGGA